GGTGTGATCTTTCTTCTTCTCCAAATCCCTCTCCCTTGCTTCCCAAGCTCAACTTCTTCTCCAAGGATGATTATTTGAAAGTGTTCCAAGTCCTCTTTCACTCTCCGCCCCTTTCCCTTTGATGAAAAGCAAAACTAGATTTTTTCTCCTCTCAAACAGACTTTTCTATTTTTGGCCAAATGCTGAAGTATCATTTTCAGGCGCCCGCTCATCTAAGTTAGGCGAGCACTCATTTTTTTTCTTCTTCCTTGATCTTTCAGGCACCCGCTCTTCGGCTTCATCATCAACATTTCAAGCAGTCGCTCATTTATTGCAATAGGTCGCCTGTTTTGTTCAGTAGGTTGCCCGTTTTGTTCCAGCATATTTTTAGGGCTCGCTCATTTAGACGAGTAATCCACCTGAATTCTCTGAGTTTTTTTGGATCTCCAAATTGCATTCTTTTGAATTCCCGTAAATGTCAGCTTGCAAAATATTGAAGGAAAAGGGCCAAAATTGTAGCCAACTAACGTCCTAAAATGCCTAGAATATGTGCCAAACCGATGTGTATGACATTAATAAGTCTATATAAAACCCGTATGATCACCAGCATCCAAAGAATTCACGTTCGTAATTCACTTCCGTATGATTTTTAATGTGTTTGTAAAATCAAATATTCGAATTAATAGTAATATTCGGTTTATATTGAATATTTATTTTTGGAAAAAATCTATTAAAAACCTTGTACTTTTTCTTCGTCTCAATTTTAACTCTATATTTTTGTTATCCTATTAAACTATGTATTTATTATATTTAAAAATAAAATACCTACATTTTTAAAAAATTGACAAAAAATCCGTAAACACAAAAATTAACTTTTCCTTCGTCGTAGTTTTATTTGATTGTTCTAAATGTACGTAACCATTGTTGCTCAATGGTTGTGTAAGCATCAACTGTTAGAATATTTCATAAATATTCTCAATTAATATGATTCAATATTTGATCTAAAATATGGATTATATAACGTTAAGCTATTAATGAGGTATAATTGTGATCAATTATGAAATGCGCCTAAACCATAATTGCGATAAAGTTTAGGAGCTAATATTCAAATACCAAATGTAATTTCCTATGGTAATTTCCTATGACTTAATGAGCGTTTTAGAAAATATGAGATAGTTAAATCTATAAATGGTAGTGATCCCTCGAACATACATACTAGAAAAAACAAAATATTCTTATGCCTCTCCCATTTAGTCGTAAGTCTAAAAGTGCGGAAAGATACAGAAGACTACAACCAATTAATTTTGTGTCAATATAACGACAGATTCAAGTATGCGTTTATCGTTTTTGTTTATATATTCTTGATGAAATTTGTCATTAGATCTTTGTGATTTTAATATCCACAGAAAGTTTTGTTAGATTTTTATCATTAACAATATACTTTTAGATTACATGCCATGACCTTATTAGATGTTGCCCTCATTTATCCGTGTTTGTAGATGATAAACATAATACTCACACATAATAACATGCGATCTTTTAATCAATGGCTTCCCATCACCATGATGTTGAATGCCTTTATGGAAACCTGATTCATCTTAAAACACGGTTCCATTCTCTAATTGATTGAAGATTTGAATTTGAAGTTGTACAATGATATTTCTTGCAACTGTAGTTTACGACAATTTATCAACTATAAGTCCGGCAACAACCTCATCTCAGATAGAGAGTTCATATTGCTTTCCTCTTTTCTTATGACCGATTAAACGAATTGTCATGCCTTTGAAATCTCCGATTACATATTTGCCTCCCGCTTTACGAAAGGTCTTTGTAATTTCATTGTAATTGTCGAACATTGTTACATTTCAATATTTGGGAATGACACCTTCATTTTATCCTAAAAACACCCCTCATGTTTTTTTAATATTTGGAAATGCCACCTTCATTTTATTTCTAACAATTTAAGCCTTGTATATGGTTTATGTGGTATCCCGAGCTATTACGAGGGTTGTGAGTGATCGTCGATGCAAGTGGCACAGATAAAGAATGGCTCTCCGAAGATCACTATGCCAGAGGGGTACAGGAATGAATCGAATGCATCAGAATGAGAGAGATCCGAGAGCTATGTAGGTATAGGACTACACAGTCAATGATAACTTAAAAGAATTGATTGAAATACTCATATCAACAAGATAAAGATACCTTTTTTATTACCTATCCTGAGAGAACTCAAAAGTTAACCTTGTTCGCTCTGGAACAATCTAAAGATGAGTGACCTACTGCAAAGCATTTCTCGACATATGTGCGAGTGAGAACAAAACATTCTGAAAGGTCTCGTGTTGATATGTAAGGACAGTTTCAATATTCTGTAAGGGTCTCGGTAAAATTTTTTATAGAAAAGAGTGTTTGAATGATTGAGTGAAGGAGAAAACGTGATGGGGAAACTCGGAATCTATGGCCGAGTGAGGTAGGACTTAGAGAAAGAGAAAGAAGATGAATTAGGGGTTGAATATACTAAATTCGCTTTATTCCCATGAAGAATATTACATTAGATGATATTGCATGTATACACAACAAAAATAAAGAAAAAAGGAGGCTAAATACGAGAAAAGGTACCTCCACACATAGCCATTTCGGACAGAACAAAGGAGAGAGGAGAAAGAGAGAGAAAGGGAGAGAAAAGAGGAGAAAGGGAGAGAAATGAGCTCAGGGAGACCAAGAGGGCGTGCCCAGACGTGACTTGGAGCTTCTCACGTCGTGTGGAGCTCACCAAAACTGGGACAAAGCTCACCAAAGCTCAAGAACAAGGTGAGTGGCTTGAGTTGCTTCTGTGTACTCTCGTTTTCATCGTGTGACCATGATATTTCAATGATTGGTTGTTTGAGCTTGAAAGAGAACATTTCAATGTGAATTTAGAAACAAACGGTACTCGATTTGGTTGAGAAACGAAGGAGATATGAGCAAATGAAAACTGAAAAAAAACTGGAAATTGGAGAGTCGTGGTCAGCTCCGGGCCAGGAACTGGTCATCTCCGGACCAAGTACGGAAAATTGTTTTAGTCCGCCAGACCGAGGGGAAGAAGCTTGGTTTGACCCGGACCAGAATCTGGTCTGGCGGACCAAGCCTGTTTTTGACCAAAAATGGTCTGGTTGGCCAACGAAGAAGGAGACGGACCAAGTGAGAAAAAGTCCTGGTCCGGGGCTGACCAAAAGTCAGTCCGCCGGACCAGATGTGCCCAGAAGCCAAAATCACCGACGGACCAAGGAGAAACGGGGCGAAAAAAAAAAGACGAGAACTGGTCCGGGGCTGACCAAAAGTCAGTCCGTCGGACCAGACCTGGAAAAAGAGAAATTCCACGTTGAACCGAAGAAATGGGCCGAGAACGAACGACACGTCTTGGTCGGGATCTGAACAGCAGTGGTCAGGGGCAGACCAGACATGGAAAATGAATTAAGGAAAACCAAAAAGGATCAAGATGGTGAGGGTGCGAAATACGAGAGTGTCTCGTGCATGATTGTTTGGGGTAGAAATGCATGGCGTTAAACGGTGTGTCGGTTGGGACCAAACACCGTGAGACGCGGGATTGTACTATGGGATTGTATGCACACGGGCTGTACCCTATGGTGGATTCCATACGGTATGTATTATGTTATAGTCGTGTGTGACGCGACGGCCAACGTCACATGGATGACGGGCGTGGGAGACGCTCCTAGTCATGAGACTTGACTAGGGTTTAGGGCTAAACCTTATGGTGGATTCCATACAAGCTAAACCCTATGGTAGATTCCATACGGGTTGTACCCTATAGTGGATTCCATACGGTATTTATTATGTTAAAGTTGTGTGCGACGCGACGGCAAACGTCACGCGGGTGACGGGCGTGTGAGACGCTCCTAGTCATGCTGACTTGACTAGAGATGAGGGCTAAACCGTATGGTGGACTCCATACGGGATTGATTGTAATGAAGTCGTGTGCGACACGACGGCCAACGTCATGGACTTGACGGGCGTGTGAGGCGCTCCTAGTCATGCTGACTTGACTAGTTTATGGCTAAACCCTATGGTGGACTCCATACGGATCTGATACGATTGATGTGATATAATTACGCGTTATCATTACTTGTATATTTTTTTGTATGTCATTGTTTTATCACCGTTCTCGTTGGGAACGGGATGACCGGAATCCCGAGGAGTACGAGTAGCGCAGCAGGGCGTGACGACTTGAGAGAAGCAATATCATGTACGGGTTTTGTAATTGAACTACGGGACTTGTATTTCCTATATTTTCTCACTACAAGAAAAACAATAATTTGCGACAGAAATATTTGTCGCAACATGAAGAAGAATCTGCCAGGAAAACAAATTTGCGACAGATTACGACAAATATTGATCGGTCGCTAAATCGTTGTCGCAAAATCTGTGTGGTCGTGATTCTGTTGTAAATTTGCGACAGATGGAGCGGTAGGTAATCTGTCGCAAATCGATGAATCCAGATCTGTCGCATATTGCGACAGAAATAGGAGTAGGTATCTATCGCAACATAACGACAAAATATATCGGTAGGTATTCGGTCGCAATGTAGTTGTCGTGGAAGTTGTCGTTTCTGTCGCTGTTTAGCGACAGATTAATCGGTCGCACTCTGTTGCAAATCTATTATATAATTTTTTTTAAAAATTATTAATAAATAATAATTATTTAAATTAAATTAAATTTTAAAAAATAATTTAAAAAATATAAAATAAAAATATTTATTTAAAATATAAAAGTATTTATTAAATAAAAAGTATTTATTTAAAATTAAAAAGTATTTATTAAATAAAAAGAATTTATTAAAAACAAATTAAACCCTAAACAAAAAAGTTTTCCGGATTGTCTGATCCGGTTGTTTGGTCCGCCGGTGTCGTAGAAGGTCCGACTCCGGGCTCAGATCCGACTCTGGACTGAGGAGTCAGAAATGGGTTGAACGACATCTCTGTTTGTGGGTCGTCATGAGGAGGAAATAGCTGGGCGAAAAGCGTCTCTTAACGCGCAATCCGTGCCTCAGCTTCCTTAAGTCTGGCAATCTTCCTGCGATCGTCCTCGAACTCTTGAATCTTTTTCTTCAACAGCTCGACCTCCTTAGTGAGTGAGATGTGGTGACCGATCGATGTTGCATCCGGATGACCATCACCCAACTGAGTCGCCATTGCACCGACGCCGTATATACGTCCTTTGGCATCCGGTTGGACAACCTACGAAATAAAAAGTATACGTCAATTAAAATAATTTAATAAAAAAATTACATCAATATAAATTTACCTCCAGATAGAGACTGTTGATTTCTGCTGGTAAAAGTTGGGTCGATCCACAACTCTCCTCTAACTGGGAGAGACGATCGGTGATCTTTGGTTGAATCGCATCCTCGATTTCCTGAACGCGATCGCTGATATAAGTACCGTCAGCTCGACGGTGAGTCTCCTGCAGCAATCGCAACGCAATAGGTTCTTCACCTTCCTTCTGCGTCTGCACCCAAAAAATTTAATTAAAAAAATTCAAAAAAAATTCAAAAAAAATTTAAATTAAATTTTTATTTACTTACTATCTCATGGGCGACTCGGGCAAATGATCTCCGTCCTGCAGTGTGGGTCGGGTGATATACGCACGGAGGAGATGGAGATAATCCGTGAACGATCACCGGCACTCTCGTGGAGGCACTCGAATTCGAACGACGGTTGGAGAAGGACCGAAGGGGATAGGGGTGTGGGACTTTGATCCGATCACCGACACTTGTAGAGGCTCTCGAATTCGAATCGTAGTCAAGAGATGGATGGAGAACGAAGGATAGGGTCTCGGACAAATCAAGACAAGCCTCGGACAAACCAAGACAGGATTTCTCGGACAAACCGAAAGAATGTCGGACACACCAACAAGAGTTTGAGACAAGCTCGAAATTACTTAATTCATCTTCAAAAATCTGATCCAAATGATATCTTACAACTCATATTTAAAGGCAAAACAAAAGAAATAACATTAATGGTAAATGTCATGCAAGATAGGTGGAGCCTCTTGTATTAAATGTGGTGGTTGGTAGAAACTATCTGTTGGGAATTGACTTGTGACTCAAGAAGCTTCCTTTGCTTGAATGACTTGGGAATGAAGCAAATTAAACTTGTAATATGGAGAAGTTTCGTGCCTTAGCTGATCCAAAACAAGGAAGGTGTGTAGCTCCATTCCGAGATGCGTTCAAGGCGTGATTGATGGATGCAATGACGTTAACACAAGGAGCTCGAGATTTGGCACACATGAGAGGTGGTTTGGGTCAAGATGATGCTCGTGATTCTCTGTCTTTGGTCCTCTAATTTGAGATGTATTTAGCTCACAATTGCTTCTTGATTCTTGAAGGTTTGATCGTGTATCTCCTTGTAGCCTTTCATTGTTGTAATGTGCATCTTCCAAGCATTGCTTAAGCTCCAAGCTATTTCGTTGAGCTCCTAGCTCCGTGCTCCCGTTCCAAACTATCATTAGCTCCATGTGTTCCTTTACCTCCAAGATATAGTTTGATGTATTGCTCGGGATTCCGAGGTCCTCATCATTCCCTCCCTCTTCTGGAGGTTTCGTCCTCGAAACTGTTTTGCCTACATCAAATGGGGCCATGTCAGCATTAGTAAAAATATAAGTTATGTCATACTCACCTTGGTCTTGGTGTGCTTCGAAAATTCCAAGCACTTTCTTTCGAGCGTTTCCCCATTCGAAGGGTTTATCCTTTGTGAGGCCCTGGTTGTCGTAGCGGACCTTTTTCCGTTCAAAAGGTTTATCCCTATTTATATCCATGAGTCCGTGGTTAGGACTAGGCATTTTATGCGACCTTTGCGCTGGGAGGATGCTCGTGTTTTCTGTCTTTTTCTCCATGCAAACGTTCTCCTCCTGAGTTTGGAACACCTGCAAATCACATACATAACCTAGGGCAGCAAATATATTAGTGCAACAAGTGTTCTTCCCGAGATGTTTGTAAAAACATTTCAGTTGCAAAACCCCTTTTTCGGATTCAAATTGGGGAATGACGTCAATAGGACAAGAATCATAAACAAGAATATAAAGAGAAACGAAATTACCGGGGTCTCCTCTTAGCGAATAACCTATGAGACTTGTATGGTTATTTGTAGCATCGGGTACCATGTAGTTATTGGAAGCACTATATAGTCCTTGCAGATTTGGAGATTCGGTTATTGGAAGCACTATATAGTCTT